CCTTAAAATAAAGTACAGATACCTAAAATTTCTACTTAAGTACAGTACTTTACTACTTGTACTTCACTACCTTCCACCACTGATTACTCGTACATCAGTGACATAACCACAACAGATGCATGTACTTTTTTTTTGCTCCTTAGAGGCAAGTGATGTCAATACTAATAAAGCTAATCTGAATCTTTAGCTTTAGCCTTGTTTCTGATCTCAGTGGGCCCGGCCAGCCCCCCCCTGAGCTTCTGTCAGTCTGTGTTATGAGAAGCTGCTAAGTGATCCTCACATGTGCCTCGGAGATGGGGGCGATTTGGGCTGCACGGGCAAAGCAGAGGTGCTGGTGGGGCTGCTTCTGCCACTAGACTCACTTTAGGGAGATATTGCTTTAATCTGTGTTAGACTGTGGACATGTGTGTGACCTAGTTTTGTCTGTTGCTTATGTGAATGACGTAAATGGAAATATACAAATCATATACTCATACATACAAGACAATTCTTAAAGGTCCTATATTACGCAAAATTGACTCTTTTGAGCTTTAAGCCATGTTAAAATGTTGTTACCTCATCAAAACAGACCTGGAGTTGTGTTTTGTTTCAGTCACACATGTTTGAGTAATATTTTATTATTAATCTGTCTTTTCCAAAGATCAAAATGCTCTGTTCCACCTTGTAATGTCTTTTGTTCAGTGGAGATCGGCAATTCCAGGGCTGAAACTGTCCAAAAGATTGTAGTGAAGGTGTGTGGAGTTTAAAAACACAGTGGAGCACTTTCTGTATTCTCACATGACAAGGTGGAACAGTGTTTTCTGCTTGAGAGAAGAACACGACCTAAATATGCAGGGTTTGTGTGTTAAAGAAAAGAAACAAAACACAACTCCAGGTCTGTTATTGATGTGGAAACAACATTAGAGCATAGATGTGTAATATGGGCGCTTTAAGATTTACAAAAGGTGAGACAGTATGTGTGCATGGTGGTTTAGTAGTTACTTTGTTTACCTCACTGCCTCTGTTTAGACGTGCCGCTTTTCCAAGACTTTTAAGTATCGCTATTCCGACATATCATCCGTCATACATGGTGTTCTCTGCAGATCTCCTACATGACGAAATGAATGAAGCACAAAGGACCCATGCATGTCTCTGTTTTAGATTACATATTTTCCCGACGGCTGGCCTATGCTCTTTTTTTAAAATGCATGACTGTTTCCCACGGTGATCAGTTAGAACTACGTTGCTGAAGTATTCTCTGATCCAGTTCTTTGCACCAGCTCAAGTATCTTATGATATGTGAGCGCGCAAAGTATAATAGGCTATCATATTAATATTATTCAAGCTGGAAAAGCGGAATGTTTGAAAAATAGTTAAGTGCCGCTACTCTAACAAGGAAAAAAAAAAAGTTTAAGGCTACGTTTATATGATGATGGTCTGAACAGAAGACGCAAAAGTGGCATCGCATCTTCACTTTTTATTACATGTTTAGACGAGCATTTTTTGGAGGAAATCTGTGTGTATACGGTGACGCAAAAGTGTGTGGAATTTGATTGAGTATGTATGCCAGCCGGCTAGGTGGTGATGTATGTGACATAAATGCATTTTTTGATTGAAATCTTATACTTTTACTTGTTTCTATTGTATTCATTTTATTATATTTATTTATTTTAGGCATATTTTTGATGATTTCCAGTGTTTCCTCTATAGGAGCCCTCTGCATCAGGAGTGGAGGTCGACTGTGGCTGTCGGGGTCTGTCCCGTGGGCTGCTGGTGGAGAGTTGGTGCTTGGGCTTCATCTCTCCCCTGGGCCCTGTGGTGGTTCCTGATGGCGGTGGACATCTCTGCTCCTGATGTAGACGACTCCTCTGATGGTGCTTTCTCAACTGGTTTGCCTGTATTCAGCCTCACGTTTTACTATGTCCGGTTTTATGTATTTTAGCATGTTAATGTGTGTGTGTGAGTGTGTGTGTGCTTGTTTGTGCATGTGTGTGTCTGGTTGTTTGGTTGTGTGGGGTCAGGCAGGTGTGGGGTTGGGTAAGTGGGTGGGTGGATGGAAATGTGGGATTGTTTTTAATCACTGTAAAGCACTTTGTATTACATTTTGATTGTTTGATACTCAACGTGAGCAGACCTGGCCAGAGTTTTGCGTCTTGGGCAGTGTAGACGGTGGAGCATATTCAACTTTTCCACTCTTCTTTCAGATTTTTGCATCACTGTCTAAACGAAAGGCACTTCCGATAAAATATAATGTCATTTTTACCCGCAACCGTTCTCGTTTAAACAGGCCTTAAGTAGTGGGACGCTTGAAAAATAATGTTTTTGCTGCTACTCCGACAATTAGATGTAAATGTCTAAATAGCTGCATGTCGGAATAGCAGCACGTAACCATCTGGAAAAATGAAAGAGAGACAAATAGCAGTTATAGTTATAGCAGCTCAACTTTATTTACTTTATTTACAACTTTTCTGTGTTTCCATTTTCAGCCCGATGGATCTGACCACACCCACCGACCCCACCCACCCACCTAACCCCGCCCCTTCCTGTTTGCTGGACCCCACTGGATGCAGCCGATCAAGAGATGTGTGAATTCATTGTCCATTTGTGCCGCGTTCTACTGCTTTGTTGACTTAATTTTTATATTTTCTGTGAACATGCTGTAATATGCAGAGACTGGTGACGTTGTCATTTAGTATTTTTTAATGTGCATTATTTTTCAAAACACTGCCACATCTTTTAACACATTATCTGATTTACATGGCAACCCTGAGCTACGGTAAATGTCTGAAGTGGTCATCTCGTCTCCTGCTAAATTAAACTAGGCTCCACATAACACAAGTTCTATTGTGTGTAAAAAATGCCTTTCTAAACTAGACCGTACTGACAAAAACACTTAAATCAACTCTTCTCTCTCTTCTCTTTTATTTTGATGTTTACTTTAAATTGTGTAACATTATAGTAGAAGTACACCACTTGAAATATGCTGCCAATAGTACTAGAAATGAATGCACTTTGTACATTGAGAAACATGACTACTAATTCGATGCTATCATTGAAATAAAGTAGACTGGTAACAAGAATGGTGAGTTATCTGTGATTTTTCCCAAATTTTTTCATTTATTGATCCGAAATTAAACTGAAAAGCAATAACATAACTAAGAGTACTCTTTAGACCAATGTTTCCTAACTTTTCTTTCTGGGGACCCCTATTTTAAAAGTCACAAACCTTCGTGACCCAAGTCAATAGACATTATTCATAAATCACAAAATAAAGGTGGACTTGACCATTAGTGAGTGATTGTGTCTCTCTGAACAATTAGTATTACTCAAGTTTTAAACAATGAAAAACAGGAATTGAACCAGCAAGAAAAGGATCCATAAGTCGCCTATTTGGACATTTCATGTAGCTCATTTCTTTTTCTTTTCAACATTCAATTGAACCAGCAATACTGGAACAAAATAGGCAATAAAGTAATTACAAAAAGATTAGAAATTATACAAAACATGTCTTAACATTTCAACTTGTGTCAGAACTGTATATTGCAGACTTACATGCAGATCGTGACAAAAGATCGAGGGTCGCAACCCAGTCCCAGAAACAATGCTTTAGAGCAGACATGTTAAACTCGGGCCTGGGGGCCAAATATGACCTTCAATATAATTATATTTGGCCTGCAAGATCATGTCAAATATATATTAGTGCTGGCTGCCAGCTACAGATAGGCTATAGAGACATTATTTATTTACAATTTTGTTGTTATTTAATTTTATACTAGTTTTGGATTCAGTGTTTAAGCAAAACTATTATTAAACATTTATTTTAATAAGAAAAGTTTAACATTATATATCTCAAAAGAAGAGAAAACATGCAGATGTTGCTGAAAATTTTCAATAAATATTTAGTTTGGCCCACGACTTAGTCTCAGTTTTTAATTTTGGCCCTCTGTGAATTTGAGTTTGACAGCCCTGCTTTAGACCCTGTTCCATGTCCTTTTACATTACATTTTCCAGTTTCTACACAGCTTCAACAGTGTTTTAAGGGCCTATTTTATAATGTTTCCTAATAAAAAAACATGCCTGGAGTTGCATTTTGTTTCATTCGCACATGCCTAGCATGCAAACCCATGCAGGCTGAGTTCTTTTCTCAAACTGAAAATACTCTGATCCACCTTTTGACATCATGTGGTAAAATAAGAAGTCCTCCTGTATTAAAACATGACATGTTTTGAAACTTCATACACCTTCACTAGAATCATTTGGATAATTTCAGCCCTGGAATTGCCACTTCTACTGAACTACAGGTAGCTGTTCCCTTGAAAACTACCACTACATGATATCACAAAGTGGAACAGAGCATTTTGAGCTTTGGAGATGTAGACACACTAATAAACCAGGATTCCTCAAACATGAATGAGACAAAATACAACTCCGGGCATGTTTTTGAGTAGATAACAACATTATAACATGGCTTAAAGCTCACAAGAATCAATTTTGTGTAATATACAACCTTTCACTTTTTTTTTTTTTGTCAAAGTCTGATGTCAGAAAGATAAGGATGGTTGGGCCTGAATGAGAAATCGCTGAAAATACCATGTGGTGCAGTGGGACAGCAGTGGCTTTAGCAGAAACTGTTATTGTGTCCTTGGGCATTTCACTCACATTGCCTAGAATGAATGTAGTGGTCAAAGAGAGAGAGAGGCACAGAATGGCAGTCTCACTTCTGTCAGTCTGGTCCAGGGCGGCTGTGGCTACAAGCTTACAACCACTAAATATGGACTGAATGTTATATAAATCCAAAAACATTATAATATATAGTAAGTGTCTGGCAAAAGGACACAAGGGCAGTATGAAGTGGTGTGATTTAAACGTCTGTCTTTTGCATGAAACAGATTCCTCCGCAGAGTAACCTGGATGAGCAGTGAGAGGTCCCTTTGTTTGTGTGGACTCACTCACAGGCTTTGTTTACACTGTGGGGCTAAGTTCCCAGTAACTTTGGTAATATTTAACATGAGACAGTACAGTTTTGGGTGACACAACCCAGAAACACACATCAAACACGCTGCTGCCATGGGAGGAACTTCAACTGCGGAGAGGTGAGTGCTATAAGACCTTTTTTAACAACAAAATGTGATGTTTTTGTGCATAGAGCTATAGTTTCAGGGGACAAACTTTGCATTTGTTGGTTGAAATAAAGTTACTGTAATCACAGAAGTTATTACTAGCCTTCTACAAGAGGCCATTTTGGATCAATAGTATCTGGATTAATGGATAGCTGCCGAAACTAGCAATTAGTACTACAAAGACGGAGTATGTGATGCATAGATTTTCATATCAGTCCAAATAGTACATAAGTAGTAGGTAATATTTTTAAATCTTCTGTTGACTAGATGCTTTTAAGGCAACATAAAAATAAACAAAAGATGTAAATATGTAGTGAAGAATCTCTGAAGCTATGTAATAACTTTGGTCTAATTTATAATGTTTCCTCATCAGAAGCAGACCTGGAGTTTTGTTTTGTTTCATGTTTAAGACACAAATCCTGCATATTTAGGCTGAGTTCTTCTCTGAAATGAAAAAAACTCTTTTCAGCCCTGGAATTGCCAATCTGTGCTGAATTAAAGGTAAAAGATCTGGAGATGTAGACAGACCAATAATATAGAAATACTCAAATATGTGTGAATGAAACAAAATATAACACAACTCCAGATATGTTTTTGAGGAGGTAGAACATTATAACATGGTGAAAAGCTCACAAGAGTACATTCTGTGTAACATAGGAGCTTTCAACACGGTGATTTTATGCATAATTTCCTTTTTTACTTTTTAATTTGTGATTGTTCAAATAATTTGTCTTTCTTACATCCACCTACTGTAGCCTACATCCCCTCTTCCTCCACTGTCCAATCAGAAAACTCCAGACTAAGAATAATATGTTTTATAGTCATTTGCTTCAGTCTTGTTTAAAGGTGCACTGTGTAACATTTCTGTTGGAGGGTCTGCCACCTGATGTCTCCATGGAACTGTTATTGATTTGTCTAGAACGTTCCACAGTATAGATTAAACCTGTCTATCATCAGGGAGACAAGCAGATTACAGCACTATGCTAAATGGTCAGATTTTTACAGCGCTTTTCCACCTACAAAGTACTCAAAGCACTTTACAACAAGGAACCACTCACCCATTCACACACACACTAGTGTGCGTAAACACTGGGGGCGAGGTGGATTAAGTGTCTTACCCAAGAACACAACTACAGCATTCACCTGTGGGAGATGGAACCACACAAGACAATGGATTTGAGGGTGAAACCACAATTCCACAATTCAGATCTGTGGAAAGTTGCTCCTATTCACAGAAGGAATAAATGCATTTATGAGCAATAGAAACACCAGAAACATCTCCATGGAGACAAGCAGGTGATGAACCCTCCACCAGAAAAGTTGCGCAGTGCACCTTTAAGGAAATATGTTTTTCTTCTTTTTACAGGTCTTTCAAACACCCCTAGCAATGAAGTTAAAAAACAACTATTGAAAGATGTCTCCTATCCCTCTCCTGGCCCTCCTGCTCTGCTGCACTTCCAGAGGTAAGAGCTGGACACACTCTGAACAAACACATCTACCACTGTGAGTTTGATGAAGAAGAGCCAGAGCTTCAGGGTTTGTTGTTTTATTATCACTTCAGATTAAATAGCATTATACCATGGTCAGTGACAATTCCAATGGCAGACTGCAGTGCGTTAATACCATGGATTTATAATAAGACTACAATTTTATTATAGTTCTATAGTTAATACTCATAGAACTATAATAAAATATGGAAGGTGAACCCAAGAAGACATTATATTGGTTTCAATGTACTGTGCTCATTGGCGCATTGGCTCAAAAATAATTTTCTCTCCCGCATTTACTTCCTCAGTAGAGGCGAGCTCCTCCCGCCTGTGTGACGTAGGTAATGTGCACAGCATGGAGCGTTTGGACCAATCAGAGCAAGAGCTGCTAGAACTGAGCGAGCAGGGCTAGACTAAATCTTACAAAGCTAACTTTTAGAAGGATTTAAAAAATTTTTAAAAAGTTTATGTTGTGAAAATAGAAAAGAATTCCTACAAAATCCGACCTTTGTGAAGGTTGTGGATGCCCTGTCAGCCGAACACGGGCAGTTTGAATTCCCCACAAAATGCATTGTGCTTCTATGGGGGAATTGTTTCTGGGCCCAAGCTCCCGGGAGCTGCAGTACCTGGAGTAGCCACTAGTCAGTCTCGAGCTGGGACAGAGAGGGAGTGCTTTATTCAGTTTTTATTATAAATCCATGGTAGAATGCAGGAACTAGCTTCATTAAAAACGATGAAATAACTGATATTTGAGACATTTACAGGCAGTGGAAAAGCTTTTCAGACTAAAAACGTGCCTTAAAACTGCATAGTGCACGGCTCCTTGTTGTTTAATGCTTACGTATGCAACAGGCTGCCTCAAATCCAGCTTATGGTCTATTAGCATTTGCAATTAATGAACTTCAAAATGGCGGCGTTTCTAGTTGAATGTGAGCTGTAGATAGTGATGAGGAGAGTTCAGTGTCAGAGGTTCACCTTCCCTCTAGAGATATTACACTCTCATTAGCTTTGTACCAAGACAATGTAGAATTTAGCTTAGTTTATATGCTAATTGCAGCAGTAAATTAGTATATAACAGTGTGGGCTCTTTTGTATGTACAATTAGCAAAGTGAAGACAGAACCTCCAGCAAAAAACACAAGCTGTTACAAAACCAGGAATCACAGTTTTGAACTTTTCTGGTGAATGGTCCAACGTCTGATGTGTCCATAGAAATGTTATTGATGCTGGCTTTTTACTAGCCGTAAAGAAATATGATTGCAGTTGTCAAGTGTCAGACCTTGAGTCCGAGACAAGACCAAGACCAAGCGCCATCAAGACCAAGACAAGACTGAGACCAAATGCCTTTGAGACCAAGACAAGACTGAGATCATATACCTTTGAGACCGAGACAAGACTGGGACCAAACACCTCTGAGATCGAGATAGGACAGAGACCAAACACCATCAACACCAAGACAAAATCGAGACCAAGCACCATCAAGGCCAAAACAAGACCGAGACCAAGCACCTTCAAGATCAAGACAAGACCGAGACTAAGATCCATCAAGACCAAGACAAGACCAAGATCAAGCGCCTTCAAGACAGAGACAAGACCGAGACTAAGCACCTTTGAGACCAAGACAAGACTGAGACCAAGTGCCTTTGAGACCAAGACAAGACCCAGACTAGGCGCCATCAAGACCAAGACAAGACTGAAACCAAGCACAACCAAGACCAAGACAAGACCGAGATCAAGCACCATCAAGGCCAAGACAAGACTGAGACCAAGCACCATCAAGACCAAGACAAGACCAAGACCAAGCACCACCAAGACCAAGACAAGACCGAGATCAAGTGCCTTCAAAGGCCGAAACAAGGCCGAGACCAAGCACCATCAAGACCAAGACAAGACCGAGACAAGCACCACCAAGACCAAGACAAGACCGAGACCAAGCACCATCAAGGCCAAGACAAGACTGAGACCAAGCACCACCAAGACCAAGACAAGACCGAGACCAAGCACCATCAAGGCCAAGACAAGACTGAGACCAAGCACCACCAAGACCAAGACAAGACTGAGACCAAGCACCACCAAGACCAAGACAAGACCGAGATCAAGTGCCTTCAAGGCCGAAACAAGGCCGAGACCAAGCACCATCAAGACTAAGACAAGACTGAGACAAGCACTACCAAGACCAAGACAAGACCGAGACCAAGCACCATCAAGGCCAAGACAAGACTGAGACCAAGCACCACCAAGACCAAGACAAGACTGAGACCAAGCACCACCAAGACCAAGACAAGACCGAGATCAAGTGCCTTCAAAGCCGAGACAAGCCCGAGACCAAGCACCTTTGAGACCAAGACAAGACCAAGTCCAAATGCGCTCGAGTCTGAGACGAGTCCAAGACCTTAATATAGCGGTCTCGATGTCAGTCTCGAGATCAAGACCGGTCTACAACACTGGTACACAGGTATGACAGGTATGAAGCTAACTTTTTTTTCTATAGCAGGAGGAGCTAAGATGAAGCTGCAGCCAGAGAAGCTCACAGGCCTACAAGGTGAGGAGGCCCGCTTCACCTGTACCACCGATGAACCAAAGTGGGGCGCTATGATTTGGCAGCTGAGGGGGAAGACGGTGCTGACCATCATCCAGCAGTCCGGCCCCGTGTCCTCTGGAAACCCCAACATCACCGCTGTGAAGGTGGAAGGAGGCTGGAGTCTGGTCCTGAAGAACACACAGAGGGAGTACGAGGGAGTGGTGACCTGTGACCTCCAGGAAGTAAGCAAGAGGACGGCCTACCTCTATGTGCAAGGTCAGTACCACAGATCTATAAGAATAGCGGTCAGTACATTAGAGAATGATGTTTAAGTGTTCGGCCTATCACAGTATGAACATGTTTGTTGCAATGTTGAGTCATAATAGTAGAAATGGCACTTATAAAAGAATTATGGTCTTTGTAGATTTTTTATCATAGGAATTTGCAATGCATTTTTATTATAAATGATATATTTTATTTAAGATGGACTATTAATTAATACAAATTTTGACACATCCAGGGATAAGATATTATGAATGAGTTAAACTAAACCAGACTTACTTAGATTTGAAGCTGACATTTCACTACCAACCAGAAAGCTTCATCTGGGTTTGTTTTGGTGACTGTGACTCCCACGGGATGAGGCCGGCCCTAGATTACATAACTGGTACATAAGTAGTTGCTTTTAAGGCAAAATAAAACATAACAATTGAAAATGTAGTGAAGAATCTGTAAGGCTATAATACTAAGCTTGTTGGTTGTTGATTTGTGTTTAAAGTCAGTGGCAGAATTAGTAATTTGGTGGCCTTAGGCGAACTTAAGTTTGGGGCCGTAATTATAATGCCCGTTTTTGTTTCTGTTTTTATTTTTTTTATTTATATTTATATTTCTTGTTCTTGAGACATGCACATCTCTATTTATTTGACTTAGGATGGATTGGAAACTTGTCTTATTAGTTCTGTAGCCTACTAGATAACCAGAGCTGAAAGTAATTATATTTTTTTGCTAGAAGAGTTACGTTTATGTTTACATACATTACATATGATTACGATTATGCTATGATTATGTTCAAATCAAGTTCAAGCTGACTAGTCCATTCTAACTTGAAAGGGGGTATGCTTTGACAGTTAAAATAGATTTGACAGTCAGATACTATTCTGATGGTATTTTCTTGTTTATAAGTAAACTACTCTCATTTAAAGTCATATTGAGAGAAAATCAAATTTGGCCATTAGTGGCACTGAGGGCAATTGGTGGGGGGCCCATCCAGCTTCGGGGGCTCTAGGCAGCCGCCTACTGCTGCCTAATCGTAGCCCCGCCTCTGGTTTAATGCCATACCGAAGAACATTTTCGGCAAAGCTATCTCCAACATCTGCATGTTAGTTCACTTTTAATGAGAAACTTGTTATCATGCCAGTAATGTTGCATTTAATTCACACATTCCGATCATTACAGCACTTACTACTGCAACTATTAGCTTTTAGTCTGATTAAAACTGCTTCGTAAATCTATTGATTATACAGATTTATTCACTCACGCTGAATTATTTGCAATTTAGATCGAAAAGTTGTAAAAGCAGATCTCTGGGTTGAATACAGCCAAAACCACAGAGCAGTTTATCATCAGTGCAGCATGCTTCTCAGTTTTGATTGCTTTATTACACGCTTACGTTTTACATTTGACAACATTTCCTAGCAATTCACGCACCAACTGTTTTAAACTAACTTGAATCTGTGACAATATGACCCCATTCACCGGCCCACCTCCCAAAGTACACATCCTAATGAACTGCCCTTGATTTATTAGGTCGTGGTGCACCAATCGATATGAGAAAAGTTTTTAGTGTTTTGGTCAAAGCTGCACCTTAGGGACCCACGATGAGAAGCAAATCATTCCAATCTCTATGGGCGAGTGTTTGATGGCTGCGCTCAGATTCTTAATGACAGTGGGGGGTGTCTAGGGGGCCCCAAATTGATCGGCCATTAGTTATAAATACCAGGTGCAAAGTGCTGAACTCCTGAGCGGTCACGGCGAGCAGGATTTACGGGCTGTGGTTGGCCTCCTCTTACCCTGGCCTCACTTTGGGTCAGGCCTGCGTAGCGGAGATGAGAGGGAGATAACAATCAGCTGTGTCCGGCACTTCTGTGGACAGGTCTTATCTCCAGAAGCGAGCACTGCGGAGGAAACCTGCATATACTCAGACGACATGTGGGAATTCCCTATGTAATTACAGCCCAATATCTAAACTCGCCCAGAAGAAGGTTTGATCAATACCATGCCACTTGTGTAGATTTTCCAACAAATTACCAATACTATACAGTAGTCATGGCACCATATTGAAATTTTGTCTCACAGTAGAGCTTAGGCTACTTTTATTAACGCCTAAAACATATATTAAACAACCAATTAAAAATAAAAGTAAAGATGACTCGATGTAGATTACTTCATTTACATTCATTTGTAGTGCTATTTTAATATTTATTATACCTCAAACTTTAGTATTAGAGACAAAAACACCCATTTTTCTAAACACAGAAGTGTCCTTGCCTGAAAAAAAAAAAAAAAAAAAGTGTCCTTGGGTTTAGTATTCACCTCGCCAGTGACACCCACCCACAATACACTGTCCACTTCTACCATCTCTTTAATGTTATGTTCCCACTGGCAAATTGTCCTCTGTCATCTGACCCGTCCCTAAATGCCACTATAGGGCAACCTGTCAGACTAACAAAATGACTCTTATAATCTCCCAAAAACAAATGAAATGACCAGAAACTTTTAAAAGAAGCAGCTTCATACCTAATTTCACTATGACCAACATTAAAGATGCACCGATCCAGGTTTTTCTATTCTGATACCGATGTCAATACTTTGGCTTACTGATACCCAATATCAGCTAATACTGGGGCAGAGACTTAAAATAATATGTCTTTCCTTTAAACACAAACAGCGTAAGTAAAAAAATTATCCAGATGTGTTTTGTATCTACTGAAGGCAAGGCAAGTTTATTTGCATGACACAATTCGTACACAAAGTAATTCAAAGTGTTTTACAGAATAACAAATACATTAAAATCACAACACAAACAAATCAAAACATAAATAATTATCATAAAATTAAAAAGAGAGTAAGACATTAAATTAGAGAGAAGAGTGCGGAATGAAAAATGAAAACCTTTTAATCATTTGCACAGCTAAACTGAACTAGCCTGATTCATCAGCCGGTTTCAGTTTGTGGAAACCGTTTGACCTCGCAGTATTAAGGATTTGTTTGCTCGATAGTAGGCAGGTACTTTTTTCATTTAACCAATCACTGCTATTTCGTCATGACGTATGTAATTCACCAAATCCCGTAGGAAGAAGGGCAATAACGTCTTTCCCCTTGATAAAATTCACCAAATGTTCTCTTTGTTCCAGCTTTAAATCCTCGATCTCCAGAATCGTTGCCAACACATCCATCTCGACTGGTTTATTTACTGTTGTACTGTACCACAAAAGAGACCCAGTCATGGCTTCACAGCTCTTCGGTGATTGTGCGGTCTACAACTTCCGGGGTTCTTGCAAATCATCTAATATATTCTGATTCCTGACCTAGTTGCTTTAGAGAATTAAAATTGAGCAGAGGCACTAGGTGGGGCCAACCTGCCTAAAACTGAACAGCTTTGTCAGTTTAATATTACGAGATATTTTGGGCTAACAATGGCAAATCATCTTATTACACCAGTTCATAAACCAAATGAGGTATTGGCTAAACTAATATCTTGGAGGCTAATATCCGATCTACCAAAACTGTCAATATCAGCACTAATATCTGATACCTGTATTGCATTGGTGCATCCCTAACCACCATGGATCGCTAAGTTCTCTTATTTTGTAATTTCAGCTGTTTTGCTTACAGCTCTCATCATGTGTACATACAGTAGATTAAACTGTGCGTTTTACCATCTGCCTTTGTCCTTTACACAAACACATCCAATTGAGACCTCATGTTAAAATGAGTTAATGAAGTACTGCCTCCAGCGAAAGTGAATTGCATTTGGACCAATGACCCTGTCCTCCCAGTATATCACGGCGGGAGCATCTACAGCAGTGAAGGCCACAAATCTGCCCTGACATTAGCAGCATTCCCAATGGTGTGTGGAGCATCGGGCCCCCATGTGTGGACTCTGCACCATCACCGGGACCTGACACAGACCCCCCATTAATTGTCCATGCTGGCACGCCCAGTTAACAGTCAGCAACTCTGCCTTGATTTGTGTGTTGCGGAGCCCAATTTACTGTTGGATGGGGCCCGTAAATTCAGCGAGGCCCCTGGACCGTACACCGTGCGTCGTCAGCCCCGCTCCCGCCTGTTACGAGTTAATTGTCCAATATGAGCCTGATGTAAATATGAAGAGTCACAAGGCTACTCTTTAGCTACTATGGATACACTACAGGAATCAATACTGCTGCTGCATGGGCTGATGAGAAGGAACAGAGTCTTGAAGTAAATTTAAAGATCCTATTACACAAAATAAGCTCTTGTGAGCTTTAAGTCATGTTAGAATGTTATTATCAAACAGAAATTCCACACCAAAGTTCTTGTAGAGGTGCAAATGCAAGAAACAGCAAAATAAAAGTAAAAAATTGCATAACACACTCAGATGGCTGATGTCCAAAAGCTTTTAAAAAAATTTTTAATAAAGTTTTGGCAAAAAATAACCCTTCATCATGCATTTTTCTTACTTTGGACCACAGTACACTTTATGTTATTATCTCATCAAAAACATACCTGGAGTTGTGTTTTGTTTCATGCACATTTGAGTAATTATTATTAGTCTGTCTACATCAGTGTTGGGGAAATTACTTCAAAAAAGTCGTGTTTGCTTAACCAGACTGGTTCCACCTAGTGCCTCTGCTCAATTGCATTTCTCTCCAGTGACTAGGTCAGGAATCAGAATACACAAGACGGTTCGCAAAAACCTCAGAAGTGCACGTTTGGGCACCAGCCAATCAGCAAAGAGCCATATATTTATATTTATATTTATATTTAAAGCCAGAACAAAGAGAATGTTTGGTGAATTTTATCAACGGGAAAGAAGTTATTGCCCTTCTTCCTACAGGATTTGGGAAAAGCTTAATGTACCAGTTAGCCCTGTTAGCGGCGCATTACATACGACATGACAAAATAGCAGCGATTGGTTAAATAAAAAAAGTACCCGCCTACTGTTGAGCGAACAAATCCTAATGCTGTGAGGTCAGATGGTTTCCACGAAGTGAAACCAGCTGATGAATCAGGCCAGTGTTTGCTGGTTGTACACAGAAAAGTAGCATTGCGCCAAATTATAAAAGGAACTTCGTGTCACATTTAGAGTAGAAGTAGGACCCAAGATGCATTTCCAAAACTGTTTGAATAAAACAAAGAATGTTGAGGTAGTTAAGCGCTTCCTGTATTACCACATGACATCACAAGGTGGAACAGAGTGTTTTCAGTTTGAGAAGAACTCAGTGTAAATGAAACAAATCACAACTCCAGGTCTGTTTTTGACAAGAAAACAACATTATAACAGATCAGAAAATAACGTAATATTGACCCTTTAAACTCAAATTTACCTCACACTGATATAAAGAGCATTTGAATTTGTGCATTTGACAGGTTTCAAAAAAGCTATTAATGCGAATCTTCAAGACAGAAAAATAATGTAATGTAAACACCCTGGATGACAAACTTGACAAAGAACAGATTTTAAAGGAATGAAAAGCTACAATGAAGGAGGCAACTACAGCACATCACATCGTTTGAGTCAAATACAGAAACTGTGACTGTTTGTACCTCATACAAATACAATATCCTTCCAGCAGCAGAAACTTTATCAGCAGATTTAACACATAAATGCACGGAACTGTTAAGAATTGCACATATAACATAAAGGCTTAAACTACAATGATCAAAAATCAAGGTAAACTTCTAGTCTATTTAAATATATATATACAAATACTTTAATAAATTGTTTTGTTTTTGTGATGGCCTGGCATAGTCCTTGTTTGGTCGTGGTTAAGTCCCGTTGGTTCAGACTTGGTTTAATCCTGGTCTGAGTGGGTTCCCGACCTAGTTCATTTCTGGTTCAGTCCTGGTTCAGTAGCCTACCACCTTAGTCCTGGTTTAGTCCTGGTTTAGTGCTGGTTCAGTAGCCTACTCTCTTAGTCCTGGTTCAGTCCTGTTCAGTACTGGTTAAGTCCTGTTTTACCCCTGGTACATTTCTGGTTCAGTTCTGGTGTAGTCGTGGCTTAGTCCTGGTCTAATACTGGTTTAGTCCTGGTTAAGTAGCCAACTATCTTAGTCTTGGTTCAGTACTAGTTTAGTTCTGATTTATTACTGATTTAGTCCTGGATCAGTCCTGGTTCAGTCCTGTTCATTACTGATTCTGTCATGTTTTAGCCCTGGTACAGCTCTGGTTCAGTTCTGGTACAGTTCTGGTACAGTTCTGGTGCAGTCTTAGCTTAGTCCTGGTTTAGTACTGGATTAGTGCTGCTTCAGTACTGGTTTAGTCCTGGTTCAGTCCTGGTTGAGTTCTGTTTTGGCCCTGGTACAGTTCTGGTTCAATTCTGGTGTAGTCTTGGCTTAGTCCTGGTTTAGTACTGGTTTAGTCCTGTTAAGTATTGGTTAAGTCCTGTTTTACCCTGATATAGTTCTGGTTCAGTCCTGGTTCAGTTCTGTTGTAGTCTTGGCTTAGTTCTGGTTCAGTACTAGTTTAATCCTGTTCAATAGCCTACTGTTTTAGCCCTGGTTCAGTTCTGGTTTAGCACTGGTTTAGTACTGGTTCTGTCCAGTTTGGTCCTGTTTCTGTACTTGTTTAGTCCTGGTTCAGTAGCCTACTGTCTTAGTCCTGGTTCAATACTGGATTAGTCGTGGTGTGGTCCTGGTTCAGTCCTTTTCAGTACTGGCTCAGTCCTGTTTTAACCCTGGTACAGAACTGTTTTAGTGTTGGTTTAGTACTGGGTCAGTTCTGGTTTAGTCCTGGTTCAGTCTTGGTTTCCCCTGGGTCCAGTCCTGGATTGATCCTGGTCTGGACTGTTTTCTTAGCTGTTTTCAGGTCCCTGGACATGCTTCCTTAGAGCTGTAAACACGACCCTGACATTTACTTTGAAGGACACAGCCTCACCAAACAGAACCAGGTTTTGGGTTTCAACATCATAACATAATTAACCGCTGAAGATAAAAATATTTAGTATAATAGGTCTACAATTATTCCACAGTTGGACAGCTTGCTTATGTTTGACAAACCTCATCTCATCTCCCACAAACAAAGACGTCCGCCCTCCCATCATCTGTCAGTCATCTGTACCTCCTCATCAGAACACGTCACTCTATTGTTCCCATGTAAAGCTTTGTTCCTTCACCAACGTCTCTCCATTTCACTGTAAGTTTATGACACCAAATCAGCGCTTGGGGGAGGACGGGCACAGCCAATAACGCGCTCACAGCATCACAAGCTCGACGCTAAATCAACTCCGACATGTCATTCCCGTGGACAGCCCTCCCCGGCTCCTGTAATCATCTCTTGTCTGTAGCAATCGGCCGCTCTGTGCACCGCCACAGCCTGTACACTCCGCACACGAGGGACTGGAGCGAGCACGGAGCTAAGTGGCTTATTTGGCAGAGAGAGGAGAAGAGAAGAGGCAAGAGATCAATCACCAAGACAGATAGAAAATAAAATAATTTGCAAAGAGGCAAATGAAAAGTGATCTCTTGAACTTTACAGTGTGGTTTATATGAATATTGGCACGAACGATGAAGAAAATCAAATAAGGGTGTAAAAAAGCTGTTATTGTTTTTATCTTTGGATTATTCTCAAAGACTAACACAAATTATAGTAAAAGAATCACATCTTACGAGGCAGAAAGGATGGTGTAATATGGGAGTGAGTGACTTAGCCTGGAGAGCAAAGTGAAAATGAAAATGAAACTTATAATACATAATATGTTGTTTGTGGGGAGTATGAAAAAACAAAAGGGAACATGGCAATGCAAATATGTTATGTGTTAGCAGTTAACCCCATAGAAGTAAAATAGAGCTTCTTTGAATCACTATTTTCTGATGTTTTAAGGTTGTTTCCTCATCACAAACATACTCAGAGTTGCGTTTTTTTTTTCATTCACACAAGAGTAAATTTTGCACAATATAGGACTTTTAATGCCAAACCGTGGAAGAGGAGTGTAACGGTACACAAAAATCATGGTTCGGTACGTACCTCGGATTTTGAGGTCAAAAGGTAGAAAGTACTGTTGCTGTTAAATTGAAAACTGACATCACAAGGTGGAACAGAGCATTTTGAGCTTTGGAGATGTAGACAGACTAATAATGAACAATTAATTACTCAAACATGTTTGAATGAAACAAAACACAACTCCAGGTTTGTTTTTGATGAGGAAACAACATTCTAACATGGCTAAAAGCTCACAAGAGTAATTTTTGCTTTATATGGAGACCCTGCAGTCATGTGAACGTTTTTGTTTTGGCCGCCATATTGACGGTCTGCACTCAGATCTGCTGGGACTTATGATGTCCCCAGTCGTTAAAAATAACCTTTCTCTAGAGACAGAGGTCGCGGGTATGAGGGTGGGGTGTGGGGGGCTAGGGGGGGTGTGAGGATCGGGGGGTGTCGATTGTAGTTTTGCGAGGATTCACGTGGTTTGGAGAAACGTAATCAAGGCGGGGGGCAATTATTGTCAAAGTGGCCGCCCTAATTATAAAGCGCTCCAGGAAACACTGCTACCCCAGTCACGGAACATGTTCTCTCGTGAATATTAAAGAGCTGAGCCTTCGTGTCGCTGCACATGTAGTCGCGGAATGTAAACACACACAAATTGCGTTAACTCTGCCCTGCACTGAACCATATGTCCTGTACTGAAAAAGTTCGGCATGAATACATGCACCATTACACCCCTACTGCGGAACATTATAAAGGCAAAGCAATAGCATCAAACTAGCAGATGTTGTACTGTACTTCTCCAGAAAAGTTACATACAGTAGTTCACCTTTAACTAAAAGTGCTATGACTCTTTCAAGTATCTCAAAGTTAGTTCAGATTTTGGGTCAGAAAGTCCACAGAGATACAACACCGCATTACCATAGATTTAATTCACACAGGATGCTAATATTGGAGGGCACGTGTCAATCAAAGCATACCCTTTCTCACATGCATATGCAAATGTTATAATAATACGTGACCAAAATGCAAATATTCTAATGTGCGTTTTTTTTTTCATCTCAGAAAAGGGCAAAGTGAGGATCTTGGGGCAGTCGAGAATGGCTTTCAAAGATCAGACTGTGGAGTTTGAATGTCAGGCAGCAGGATGGTCCCCTCTGCCCACACTGCACTGGAACCTCAACGGTCGACAGGTAAAATCACCATTTACTACTTATACATGAGGCTAGTACTCATGTAGTTTACATTATATGATTCAAATAACTCTTTTCAGTTGTCAAAAATATACTTAAAGGTGCACTGTGTAACCTTTCTGACCTTCTTTCTGAGATGTTCTTCAGAATTGCATTTAATTTATCTTTCTCCATGAGTCCCCCACATCCCCAGACCATGTTACTGACCAGATCTGTGGAGAAGTGAACCTGCTCACAGTAATAATGCAGGTTTTTGATGTAGTTTTGCGAAGTAATAACACCTGTAATTGAATAAATACAATATATATTTGTTTAATGCCATACTGAACATGCAGTAACATTTAGAGTAAGCTTTTATTATGTGAATTTAAAATACATATTATAATATCATATAATGCTATTTTCTGATCTATGTTTAATGTTTTGTGTCATTTAACACATAAATCCTGCATATTTAGTGCTTCTCTCAAATGGAAAACACTCTGTTTCCACTTTGTGAGGACATGATATCAACCTTGGAATTTCCAATTTCCACTGAACAAAAGGTGAAAACTACTGCTTCATGACATCACAAGGTGGAATAGAGCATTTTGAGCTTTTGAGATGTAAACAGACTAATAATGAAGGATTATTCAGACAAATGAAACAAAACACAGCTCCAGGTATATTTTTGATGAGGAAACAACATTATAACATGGCTAAAAGCTCACAAGAGTCAATTTTGTGTAATATAGGGCCTTTAAGGCTGGGTCAAATACATAAGACAAATTTCCCTATGGGCGCAATCAAGTGTTAGCCTGATTCATCAACCAGTTTCACTTTGTGGAGACCATCTGATCTCACAGCATTAGAATTCATTCGCTCGACAGTAGGCAGGTACTTCTTATCATTTAACCAGTCGCTGCTATTTGGTCGTGACGTTATGTAATGCGTCTCTAACAGTGCTAACTGGTATATTAAGTTTTTCCCAAATCCCATAGGAAGAAGGGCAATAACGTCTTTCCACTTGATAAAATTCACCAAACATTCTCTTTGTTCCGACTTTAAATCCTCGATCTTGGGAATCGTTGCCAACACAGAATGTATGACTCTTCGCTGATTGGCTGGTGCTCGGACTCGCGTTTCAGGTGTTCTTGTAAACCGCCTAGTGTATTCCAATTCCTGACCTAGTCGCTGAAGAGAAATGAAATTCAGCTGAGGCACTAGGTGGCGCCAGCCTGGCTAATCAAGTGTACCATAACCTTATTGTGTGTTTGTGTGTGTGTGTTTGTGTGCAGGTGAACACTGCTGATTATAACCTGAGTTCGGAGCAGACCGGACAGGGCCAGTTCTCTGTCAGCAGTAACCTCAGTGTGAGAGCTTCCTCCAGCTGTGACGTTCACTGTCTGGTGTCTGTGTCGGCCATGACAGTGCCACTCAACAGCACCGTCCGCCTCACTGTGGGTACGAAACACTGCAAACCTGGCAACATCACTTCATGCAACATTCATCTTGTAACAATAGACTTATACATATGGGGGGGTGACAGAGACTCAGTGGTTAGAGGGCTTGTCCACCAAACCTGTCATTGTGTCCTTAGGCAAGACACTTTACCGACCTTGCCCCACACTTTAAACACAATTTGGGGTTTTCAATAATGATATTCACACATGTTTGTGTAATTTTGTAATCCTGACTACATCTCCAAAGCTCAAAATGCTCTATTCCACCTTGTGAAATCGTGAAGTAATAGTTTTTTTTAACCTTTTATTTACTAGAAATTGGAAATTCCAGGGCTGAAAGTGAAGATGTATGGAGTTTAAAAACACAGTGGAGCTTGTATTATCCTCTTGGCATCACAAGGAGCTCTCGGAAGACTAAATATGCAGGGTTTGTGTGTTAAACATGTGTGAATGAAACAAAACACAACTCCAGATCTGTTTTTGATGAGGAAAGAAGATTAGAGCATATATCAGAAACTATGGGCCCTTTAAAGAAACAACTGTTAACTTTGATTTATAATATAAATAAGAGTTGACTCATGAGTTTGAACGCCACAGTTGCATTTTCTCTCCTGAATGATTTTTAAACATGCTGTTTTTTAACCTCAATTTTGATTCCATTTGCAGCTGCACTTGTACCACTTCTAAAGCACTTACTCAACAGAACTGCGCCTACATCTGAATAGAAATGAGAGAATAAAACAACTACAGAACTTCTTTTGCACTCAGATCTTCAACTGCTCTAAACCTTCCCTTAGGCTGACAAACTGATTTTCATTGCCTTTATACGTTTTATAAGACGTTATAAAGCCTTATAAAACGTATAAAACAGTTCTTAGGGTCAAAAGTATAGAGTGTATTTTGGTGAATGATACAAAACAGTTAAAAAATCTGAAAGATTATAATATGGGCATTTGAGTAAAATATGTTCCCCAAATATAAAAACAGAATCAAATAAAGACTAGATGAACATGTTAATTTATAAGTTACAATATAGCAGAGATGGAAGGTAGCAAAGGAAAAGGTATTTGTAGATTTTACAGTGGATACTTTTCTTCTCTTCACTACATTTGAGAACAGGTACTGTACTTTATACTCCACTACATTTTTGAACAGGATTGAAAAGGAGTAAAAGTCTTTTTACTATAGTTTGAGAGCTGCTAAACTGACGAATAAAGGTGCACTATGTAATTTTTCTGGTGAAAAGTTTGCCACCTTGGTTGTCTTCATGGATTATTGCTTTGTCTGGAATGTTCTACAGTATTCCACTAAACTTACCTGTGTTGAGCAGGGTCGCCTCTCAACAGATCTGACCTATAACTTGGCCTTAGCCACCTGATTGTTTCCATAGAGGTGGATGAGTTTAATGCCATACTGAGGAGCATTCCAGGTAAAATAAGAAGTTGTAGACCGCGCACCGGCTAATCAGTGAAGAGCTGTGAAGCCATGACATCAAACTCAAGCACCTGTCTGGGTCCCTTTTGTGGTACAGCACAACAGTAAACAAAGTGGTCAAGATGGATGAAGACGAAGCCAGACAGTGTTGGCAACGATTCTCAAGATCGAGGATTTAAAGCCAGAACAGAGAGAATGGTGAATTTTAGGGGAAAGAACGTTATTGCCCTTCTTCCTACTTGATTTGGTGCATTACATCAAGACCAAATAGAAGTGATTGGTTAAATAAAAAAAGTACTCACCTACCGTCGAGTGAACGAATCCTTAATGCTGCGAGATCAGACGGTTTCCATGAAGTGTAACCGGCTGATGAATCAGGCTAGTAGATGGCAGTCTCTCCACAAGAAAAGTTACATAGAAAATGACATTCACCTTTAAAGGTAGTACACAAAACTGACTCTTGTGAGGTTTAGGTAATGTTAGGATGTTTTTACCTCATGAAAAACATACCATAACTATTAGTCTGTCTATATCAAATCTCAAAATGCTCTGTTCCACCTTGTGATGTCATGCCTTGTGTTCAGCAGAGACTGGGCTGAAATTAGGCAATTCTAGGGCTGAAATCATCCAAATGATCGTAGTGAAGGTGTATGGAGTTTAAAAACACACTGGAGCACATGACATCACAAGGTGGAACAAAGTATTTTCTGTTTGAGAGAAGAACTCAGCCTAAATATGCAGGGTTTGTGTGTTAAGTGCATGAATGAAACAAAACACGACTCCAAGTATGTTTGTGATGAGGAAACAACATTATAAAATAGATCAGAAAATAGTGTAAAATGGGCCCTTTTAAATTACACCTATACATTTTGTCTTGTTTTACATACGACGTCTCTATCTGTATGTTTCAGTCGCAGAGGTCTTGGAGGACGGCGACTCCAATGTTGCCGTGGTGCTACTGGGCTCTCTCACCGCCCTGCTGTCTCTTGCCCTGATCTGCATCGCCACCGTCCTCTGCCTCAGACGAAGGGAAAGAACAGGTAGGCACTTTTATTTCTGCACTTCCCTTACCCGAGGAGAAAAAGTGAGTGTTCCCTCTGCTGCTGCGTTATATAGAGAAAGAGTGATTAAAGTATAATGAAGCAGATAGGAGGATACACGCTGTGGCTTGGCACTGCCCCATGCTGGCCTATTCCAAGGGCACACACTATTTTTCTGACAAAGAGAGAACAGTTGTTGTCAGCACAAAGCTCCTCTCTGCAGGCTACAGCAGACGGGTCACAGAGCCAGTGTTAAAGCCCAATAATGATTTCTCACCTGCTGAACCGACTGCTGTTTTAGCCTGAGCAAGCCATCATATTTACAATGTCATAGATAACAATTACAATGGTATATAAAGTGGCAGAGGAGTACTGTGTGCGAGCAGCCAGCAGGGGGAGTCAAGAGCAGATGTATGCAGGTTGTAAAATGAACTTAAAGCAATCTTGTGTAACTTTCTGTAGGTGAAGAAAGTTAAACCATATGTCTGAAAATTCTCTATTGAGATAAATAAGGCTACGTTCAGACTGCAGCCTGAAGTGACCGAAATCTGATTTTTTTCACCCGTATGCCACCTGTACCTGAGCTTTTAATGACATGTCATGAAACAACACAGATCCGATTTTTTAAAATGCGACCCAGGCCACTTGGATATGTGCTCCTAAAACCGATACATATCCGATTTTTTGACACGCGACTTCAGTCTGAACGGGCAGGTCGCATTCATCAGACCTACACATTCACAAATGTACACAAACGTTCTTCTCGTCATATGAAAATTGTGTATGAACTCCGTGTCAGTGAAGCAGCGGAGCAATCATACAGCAAGCCCACCACTCTTGGCTGCGACTCTGCACCCACACGTTCCTTTCTACGGACGTTGCTGCCACTGCCCCACAAAACGCCATGGCCATAAACCTTGTCCTTCTCCTTCTCAATCTCCTCCTTAAAACAAATAAGCTGTACATGTTCTATAGGGTGACCCAAAAAAACTTTTTTCTTTTTTCTTCTAATTTGAACCATGCATTTTGGCCTACTACCAGTTAAAGTTAACACATAAAAATTTGAGCTACATTAAATGACATTTAGAGGTTGCACAACACCATAGAAAAATCACCTTTTTATCTCTCTTTATTAGCCAAATAGTATAAATCAGCAGAAATATAAATTTTCAAAGTATTTATTCCTTGTATGCTATAGGTTTAATATATATATATTTATATAATATATATGCATAAAGCACATGTTGTAACATAATATAATGAAACTTATATAAAAAAATTATCATTTGATGAAAATGACTAACCCGATAACCAAGTCAGTTCAAACTGCCTGCTCACTTGAAGAAGTGGCAAGACCTTTGACAACTGTGTCTTTTCTTTGAGTCAGGGTAGCTTTTTCTGTGATTTTGAACCAGCTGTAGTAGGAATTGTTTCTGTTCTTCTGATTTGGTTAATATAGCATTGAAGTCCTGGATCAACTTCACTCCCCGTTCTGCTGTGTCGTTCACAACTTTCAGGGATCGGACGACCTTCTCTGCATAAGTGAACTCCTCATTTTCCTTCCATGTTTCAGGTGGCATTTGCAGAAATGACTGTGGCAGACCAAGAATAGTAAAGAATGCATTTGTATTCTTGGTCACAAAATTGCTGAGGGTCTTCTGTTCATAGCTTCCATTTGCATCAAGACAGTGGGGAACGTGAGGTGATCCCTCTCTTTCTTGCATGAATCCACTAAATTTAGTACAAACTTAAAAAAAATCAGTCAGTGTTTAATTAATATTAGCACTGTTCATATTAAATCTGACAAACTATTGCATAGGTTTTGTATATAGAAAACAGAAATTTACTTACCAACACTATCAGCAATGTTAAGCTGACAAATCTTTCCTCATAGCCTTTTTCTAAAGTTTGTCTTCAGCAGTCATGCTATACAGTATACATGACTATAAACTGATGAGTGTTGATCTCATATGACAACTATTCTGTCTCTGCTAAATTGGTATGACTGTTGCAGAGATTATTGCTTATTGAAAGAATATAATGGATTATTTAATGAAAAGTGGCAAAATGTAGAGTATGTAATCCTGCCAGCTCATCAGACACAAAGCAGTGTGACAAACAGACACACTTTTGTTATTTGAGAGAGAATTCTTGAAACTTAAAAAGGCTTGTGCAACCTCTAAATCATGTTGGATTTCACTGAAATTTTAACCCTGTTGCTTTTGTATTTATGGTCAATGTTTGCTGGGTTCAAATCGAGAAATTTAAAACTTTTATTTTTTTACATGTTTTTCTGGACCACCCTCATGTTCTAGCTCCAGTACGACAGCAACTTTAAAATCACCAGGTGTTCAATGCTCGCATCCATGTTTAGGCGACTTCCGTAAACACTGAACATGGGACACTTTTGGGGCATTTAAAGTTCACACTAGAGATCACATACAGTCACATTTAATTGGAAATGTGGACGACCTTGCAAAAAAAAATCAGATTTCACAAAAAAATCCAAATTGAGTATTAAGCCCTGCAGTCTGAACGTAGCCTAAATTTGTTTGTCCTTCCAACCTTAAGGTCAAAGGATTTCTGCTCAGACCAAGTTCTCTTGTTGTGTCTTTAGGCAAGACACTTCACCTACGTTGCCTAGTGTGAAATTTGTGTGTCCTTGAATGATTAGTGGTGGTCAGAAGGGCCAATGGTGCAGATTGACAGCCTTGTTTCCCTCTGTAGTGCTTTGATGAACCTGTAAAGTGCATTATTGTTCATTATTATAGCCAAAGGAACAACATTTCCATGGAGACAGGCAGGCCAGGCCAAATAAGAGTCAGGTTTGCGGAGATGCAAGCCGTACACAGTAAAGAGACTAAGGACATGTGTTTTTCTACATATTTCAGTGCATTAAAAATATCTAAAACAAAAAAACAAGCAAACAAACAAACAAAAAGGTAAAGATTTTCTCAACATTTTCTCTTTATGTGCTGCTAGTTTTGTCCATGAAGTTGTTTACAGAACATACAGATAGTTGTGTTGTGTTTCTAACAGAGTAGAGCAGGTCTGTGTGTGAGAGATATCCAACAGCTCACCTCAGAGTGGACTTTGTAATCCCTGTGACTGATTCAAGGAGCGGGGGATTATCTAAAATAGTTGTGACCCTTTCTCTCCCCCGCCATTCTCCACCTGAAACTTCTCACTCTGCTGTCACGCCTGGTACGGGTTTTTCCTAAAGGGAACAGCAGCAGAGTGGTTAGCCCAAAGAGAATCAGAATCAGGAGTGATAGCTGGCTCACTTGGATGTTCACCTGAATGTGTTTGTGCTGTAAAGTAAAAGTAAAAAAAAAAGAATCTAGAATCTATTTGTGCACTATATGTAACTTTTCATTTTGGGGTAGTTTCACTTGCTTGTTTCTATGGATATGTCTTTGCTCTATCCGAAATATTCCACAGTATGACAATAAACAACCCTACCTTGCATTTATTCAATTACAGATGCTTTTTCAGCTCAGAAACACCTAGAAAAACAGATATTCTGACTGTGAGCGGGCTTGCCTCTACACAGATCTGACCTGTAAGTTCGTCCGGTTTGGTCTCCATGAAGACAGAAAGGTTTAATGCCATACTGTGAAACATTCCCAACAAAACAATAACATCTACTTGAAGAAAAGAATTTCACAGATCCTCCACCACAAAAGTTAGACAATGCACCTTTAAGTTAGCCTGATTCATCAGACGTGAAACCGTCTGACCTCACAGCGTTAGGACACTCGCGACATTCGCTCGACAGTAGGCGGGTACTTTTTTTATTTAACCAGTTGCTGCTATTTGGTCATGATGTAGGTAATGCGCCAGTTCCCGTAGGAAGGGCAATAACGTCCTTCTCTTTGATAAAATTCTTCATCCATCTTGACCGCTTTGTTTACTGTTGTGCTGTACAACAAAAAGGACCCAGACAGACACTTGAGTTTGACGTCATGGCTTCACAGCTCTTCACTGATTGGCCGGTGCGCAGTCTACAACTTCCAGGGTTCTTGCAATCTGTCTAGTGCAGGGGTGTCCAAACTTTTTTCATCAAGGCCCACATTTCTAAACACAGATGAAGCAGAGGGCCGATCGAGGGCCATAGACTGGAGCTCAATACAGTGAAAAATTGAAATATGTGCATGTTTAACACTTTGGAATGAGCCATCAGTCCTTATTCACTCTAAAATCCCCAAAACCACACATTAAATCTTCAATATTGGCTTTATCAAAGTAGATTAAAAAAAAAAAAACTTGCTGTAAAAAGTTCATTTTTAATTGATGCAAGGTAATTTGGGCCAAATCACCTGGAAGCCCGAGGGCCAAGAAAAATTTGTTCAAGGGCCGCAATTGGCCCCCGTAGTTTGGACATGCCTGGTCTAGTGTATGCCGATTCCTGACCTAGTCGCTGGAGAGAAATGAAACTGAGCGGAGGCACTAGGTAGCACCAGCCTGGCTACCTTTAAGTACAGATATCACAAATTTCTACTTAAAGGTATGCAGCTATTCTGGTGAAGGGTCCGAAATTGCTTTATCTAGAATGTTCCCTAGTATGACATTTAGCATATCCATTTCAAAGTAGACAACTATAAGCTACATTACAGGTCAGATCTGTGGAGAGGCATCCCTATTCACAGAGAAAATTATTCTATTTTTGAGCAATAGAAACACCTGTAATGAATAAATGCTACATGGATGTGCTGTATGTCATACCATGGAACATTCCAAGCAAAGCAAAAACATCTCTAAATCTAAAACATTTAGACAACACAACATCAGGGTGACCAGATTTTCAAAATAAAAAAATGGAACACCCTCACTTTTGGGGTGACTGTGAAACAAATGCATAATTAAAGAAAACTGTACTGCACTCAGTCCATTCATGACTAATTACATTTATTATTATTATTTATTTATTTACATTTATATTAGTATGTTTCATTTGACACCTGTCTCTTGCTATCTTCTTTTGCTATTTATTTAGAATATATTTTAACCATTTATATTTTTGCTCTTTATTATTATATTATATTGTAATGTGTGAGCTACTGTGTCCATACAATTTCCCTTGTGGAGCAGTTAAGTCTAAGTCTAACATGTAAGCCACTATAGTCATATTTTCTTTGTGTTTTTGTCATTTTAAAGCAGCTTTTCTGTATTTTACCTAAACAAATGACAATTAATGCCTCTCTTTACTGTTGGCAGGGATCAAATTGGTCAAAAATGTGGACATTTCTTGTAGAAAACTGGGACAAATCACTGGTTTTGGATAAATCTGTTGGGACAGGGGACACAGGGCTCAAAACTGGGACTGTCCCGGGTAAAGTGGGACGTCTGGTCACACCACACAACATATGCTGCTTTACTATAGAAAGCCTATGGTCACCGTGTAGACTTTGGACAATACAGCAGCAGGGATTTTAATATAATGACCAACCCGGGCCTTATCCTGTAAAAGCAGTAGTTTGGACATCTCCCGGGGCTAGCTCCATCTGCGGCTGTATTATTGTGCTTTTGTATCGGCCTTAAGGACCTTTGGCAACCGTGAAGCAGTCCTACAAAACTCATTAGCGCTCCTGCATTCACTTTCCAATCGCAATTCACTCCAGGCTAACATAATACCGCTAAGGCTAACGCTAATAAACGCTAGGACATTTACAACTTTTGCCACTGCGGTGTAGATGAAATAAAAGCAACGTGGTCAGTGAATAAACAAGTCATGGTTCATTTTCTTCTCTTCTATTTTTCAGAATCGGGCCTGGAGCAAGCCATAAGGTAAAGCTAGCAATTTGTTGTACATAAAGCTAAATTGGTATCTCTGTTGGCTCTGGTCACGTTCGACCGAGCGCCACAATAAGTCAATTTAGCGTACGTGGCTAATGCTAATTTCTCAAGTTAATAGCATTTTGTTTTGCTGCCATGGTAAAAAGATTGAGACATGCATTTTTAAACCATACATGCATTAAATATAAAGACAGTTGTGGAAGAAGTACTCAGTTTGGTTAACGAAGAAGTACAGTTATTAAAGCAAAAAAATACTCAAGTTAAAGTAAAAGTATCACATGAAAAATCTACTTAAGTTAGGGTGACCAGATTTTCAGAATAAAAAACTGGAACATCACTGATTTGTGGTGGTTGGTAATAATAAAATTGTGAAACGAGTGCGTAATTAAGAAAAATTGTTACACACTTGGCCCATGTGAGTCAGTATAGTCACATTTTCTTTGTGTTTTGGTCATTTTTAAACAGCTTTTTTGTATTTTTCCTAAACAAATGACAATGTATGCCTCTCTTTACTGTTGGCAGGGATCAGATTGGTCAAAAATAGGGACACTTGAGACATTTCTTGTATAAAAATGGGACAAATCCACTGGTTTTGTATAAATCTGCTGGGACAGGAGACAAAACTCAAAACTTGGACTGTCTTGGGTAAATAGATATGTCTGGTCACCCTATGCAAATGGCAAATAATAAACTAAACAGAATATAGTTTTCTAGTATCAATACTTTTTCCGACGAGTTTCTATTGTCCACACAAGATTTAGTATCAATTAATATCTGTGCTTAGAAATACAAAAGTGGGTCACATCAGGGTTGGGATGGTTGGTATTAATAAAATTGTAAAAAGAGTGCATCACATTGTCCATTCTCAACTCACTTTGGCTCAGTATAGTATATATAATCTGAGGGATTTCTGTTGTTGTGTTTTTTGCCTTATGGTCAAGCATGGATTTTTTGTATTTTAGCTAAACAAATATAAAATATATACATTTAAAATCTACCTCTTTATTGTTGGTGGATATGAAATTGGTCAAAAATCGGGACACCTGGGAAATTTTTTGGATAAAACTGGGAGAAATCAGTGGTTTTGTATAAATCTGCTGGGACAGGGGACACAGGACTCAAAACTGGAATGTCCTGGGTAAATAGGGATCTCTGGTCAGCCTATCTTAAAGAGTAAGAAGTAGTGTTGTAATCAAGACCATGACCAAGACCAGTCCGAGACCACAGGGTTCCGAGCCCAGGACAAGACCAAGACCTCTGAGAGTTGAGACCGAGACAAGACCAACACTTTTAAAGGTCGAGACCAAGATAAGATCGAGAACACGGCCCATCGAGACCAAATTGAGACCATCTTTGTCATTTTCGACATTTATTTGTATTTTACAGTCATTTTGGCAGTTTTTATGAGTCTATCTCCACTCTATCTGATTAATGTTAATTTAACCTTAAAATAGGCCAAGAAAACTGCACTGTACTGAAACACTCCCCCTTTTTTAGATCCTGACCCACAATTTGAGAACCCCTTCTTTAATCCTGCTTCCACTGACACTTTACAGAAAACAACTTTAAAGTTAATCAAGTCTTTTTTTTTTCAAGTTCATAACATTTACAGTTACATTCTCTTACTGATTTTGCAGTGATATTTATCAGCTTTTGCACATTTACCGACCATAATCAAAAATTATTGCACTTGTCGAGTGTCAGACCTCGAATTTGAAACAAGACCGAGACCAAGCGCCATCAAGACCAAGACAAGACCGAGTCCAAATGCACTCAAGTCCAAGACAACACTAAGACTGGTCTTGAGTACTGACACAAGTAAAAAGTAAAAGCATTTTGTGCATATTTTGAGATCTAATAAGGCTTCAAGTGTACTGTAGTGCTTATAATAAATATCTGTTCTGAATTTTGTCTAACAGAAGCAGCTGAATCTTAAACTAAAGTAAAAATACTAGTACTAGTACTACTAATACTAGTCTGGTGCCAAAAATGTAGTGGAGTAGAAAGTACACAGTGTTGGGAAGGTAACTTTTAAAATGTATTCCCCTACAGATTACAGATTACATACCTCAAAATGTAGTCTGTAACATAATCCATTAAATTACTTAAAGTGAGTAAAGTAATCTGAATACTTTAGATTACTTGACATTGTCATGCTTTTTAAAACTACATGAATGTAGCAACCACATCCTGAAAATTCTTGTTTGTTCAAATTGGCTGAGCCCAAGTCTCCATGAACAGGCAACTGCTGTAAAGTAGCAAAGACTAGGAAATCTTAACATAAAATGTTTTGTCTGCTTCAAGACAATAAAAAGCCCAAACTTTACTTAACCAAATTAAAAAAATATTACTGAAAGAGAAATATTTTTTATATGAGATCACTGCTGCCTTAAAGTATGTCCACCCTACTACTGTTAGGTGTCATATTGTTTAGTCCTGGTTTAGTCCTGGTTTAGACCTGGTTTCGTTCTGGTTTAGTCCTGGTTTGAGTCCTGGTTTTGTCCTGGTTTAGTTCTGGTTTAGACATGGTTTTACTCCTGGTTTAGTTCTGGTTTAGCCCAAAATGTGAAAACAGGAAAATACCGCCATGTAATCCATTTATTTCAGCAAAGTAATTGTAATCCAATTACCACTCATTGAAACAGTAACTGTAACTGAATACAGTTACTCATAATTTGTACTCTGATTACGTAACTCCGGTACATGTAATCTGTTACTCCCCAACACTGCTTAAAGTACATATACCTGCTCTCAAATATAGTGAAGTAAAATTAAAAGTATCCACTGTAAATTGTACTTAAGTAACATACAGAGACCTAAAATGTATAGTTAAATACAGTACTTTACTACTTTTACTTTCACACCACTGAACAACGCAAAACTGGTATCTCCGTTAGCCACTGGTCACGTTTGACTGAGCACCACAATAAGTCAATTTAGAAAACGCAGCTAATACTAATTTCTCAAGTTAATAGGCTTTTGTTTTCTGCCATTATAGAAAAATGGAGACATGCATTTTAAAACTGTACATGCATTAAATATAAAGCTTAATTACAATTCAAATCGCCAGTATAAGAAGCGTGTATTGTGTGCTAATTTATGGTTTTGTATTTGTCAGCCATTTTCTACACCCAAATGCGTTTTAAGCATGAGTCGTTTTGATAAAATAAAATAAAAAGGCTTATCCCCCGAGGCGCTAGGAAAATAAAAGTTGAAATATTGTCATTTTGAGACTGAAGCTACCAAGACTCCCACAAAATGACTGTAGGACGTCCCGGTTAAAGGTTAGCTCGTCTGATTGGATCATTTATATGAACATTTTGCAGGTTCGGCCAATCAGAAAACGGGAGGATCTCGGTTGCTGGGGTGACACATGGGAAGGTCAACCTGGGATATTCTAATGACAGAGGTGAGAGAAACATAAAGAGTTTTAGAGTTTGAGTTTCTGAAAGGTCATGGTGTTTTCTTCAAAGTTTCCTGGATGTGTGCAATCTTTGTGAAATGCTCTAAATGTACTGTAGATGGAGTTCGAAAGGACAAATAAAAAAGAAATTGACAGCCATGCCTCCATCAGTCTTCAGTGATGGAGTTCTGGCCATTGAAATAAATTATAAAAATCGACTGGTTTTCCGTGGCCGATGCTGATACCGATTAGAATCCAGAGCAACTGATGTCCAATAAGCTCTGCCAATATTTTTAGGTCAATATATAGGGCAGATTTTGATCATTTTTACCCACATTATATGATTTTGAAATGGGAACAAACTTAGTCACATTTTCAGCTGTGCCCTTTTTAACTCTAAAGTGTTGAAGCTAAAAGTCATTCCTTTTAGCAGGTTGTTAACTGATTTAAGGCCGACAGTCGATATGCTAAAAAGGGCAAATGTCAGGTATATACACTATCGGTCAAAAGTTTTAGAACACTCAAATTTTTCCAGTTTTTTATTGCACTTCATGTCGTGCAAGTCCAATGAACAGCTTGAAATGGTACAAAGGTAAGTACTGAACAGCCAGAGGTTTAAAAAAAAAAGATAAAAGATACAAAACACAAGTCCAAGCTCTGCCAAAACTACCTCAGGAAAAAAAAATGGTGAGCTTGAAAACAGGAAGTATCCAGCACAGTCTCCAGTCTTAAACCATATCGAGCTGGTTTTGGGATGAGCTGGACAGAAGAGTGAAAGCCAAGCAACCTACAAGTGCCACACATTTATGGGAACTTCTGCAACAAACTTGGGAAGAACTTTCTGAAGAATATTTGATTTCTATTGTAAAAGAACGAGCCACAAGTGTGTTCAGCTGTTATATCTCCCAAAGGTGGACACTTTCATGAATCAAAAGTTTAGACTATGTTTTGGTCAACAGTAAACAGTAAAAAACTGGAAAAAGAGTGGTGTTCTAAAACTTTTGTCTGGTTGTGTAGGTCTGTCTCATAGACTGTATATATAAATGGACATGCTATATGTGTAAGCCGTCATGTTCCAAATAGGAAGTGAGCATGGGCTTTTGGATTCTTCTGACCCTGGCTCCCACTGGCTTACATTGAAATATTGTCAACCCTCTCTCTGTAACTGCAACTGTGAGCCTTATCATATTGGTCTTAAAATTTTGTTGTATTAACTCGCTCTACATGATCCCGGTGATGATTTTTATCTCACTATTTTGTCCACTATTCCTAATAAGGAGCCTGGTTCCAAATTCGCCCTGTACCCGCTATTATTGTGAGCTTCATTTGAGTGAAGACAAACGTTATGGGTGACATCACACTCGCTTAGTAATTCAGTTTATTTTGAGTCAGTCAATCACTCAATTAATCAAACTTTATTTATAGAGTGCTTTTCATGCAATAAATGCAACACAAAATGCCCCCCCTCCCACAAAGCTAAGGTAAACAGTTTTGTCTTGAGATTACTATCTGTGACATAATTATCTTTTTGTTTTACAACTAACTATCTGGAATCTGGAAACTTATACTAACTGTATGGAATCTGGGACACTAACTAGAGGATAAAACAAACTGATTTTTTTAAATCTGGATAGCCACAGATTTCTATGTAGTCTATTACATCACCTGGACAAATATAGATGTCTGTACATGAATAAAAAGAGCCAAAAATTTATTCAAACTACTAACAGCAAATAAAATTAATGTTTCTTATGGCCAGATTGATAATATTATTAAACCAGTACTGAAATATCCGGTGTATTCTGTAAATGTACACCACAATAAACCATAGAACATGTTTTAATGAACTACACTGGTATAACAAACTGATTATGCAAGTCCACCAAGTTAATTATGCACTTTGTTTTGGACTTGTACTTTCCACAGACAGCACTGTAGTAGCAAACAAACTCAATAGCACGCTATCTCTTTGTGGTGTCAGCTTACGTGAGACTAACTGCTTTCTCCCTATGCACAGATACCTTCTATAATGACCTCATTATAGGACCTCCCATCCCAATTACCACCTTCAACTCTCATGATAAGGTAAGACACACAACATTCTAAACGCATAGTCATGTATTTATTAATTTGTAACGCGATTCATGCAGCTGTAAAACAATTCAGAATTCAGAAGTCGACAAAATCACGTAAAGACGCATGAACACTGCAGAAGGCAAAAAGCAAATGTGAGAATTTTTTTTTTTTATGGCTGTAATCTGCTTAGTCCTGCCCGGTGATCTGAGATTGTCGATGTTTATGAGGTAATTGTACTGCTGAGGGTTGGACGTAATGGATTTATTGATTCAGTTGAAGGGTCTGTATTGATAAGTGTGTGGTAATATCCCAGCATCTAATAAAGATCGGAGCAAGGGTGGAGCAGTTTTGTTCAAGGTCACGAGAGTGGTGGAGAGTGGTTTACTAAGGTTTGACCACTCATTTTACAAAAACAGTTAAGACATTTACGTAGACATTACATTTAAGGTTTTACTCAAAATGTTTTTTCCCCCAGTTTGACCAGTTTTAAAGTGCGTATGACATTTTATGATTCTCTAATTTTGACTTAATTTGGTGAGGGATGCACCAAAATTAAAATTTGTGGTCAAACCCAAAACCGAATAAAAATTAAACACTTGGCCGAATACCAAAACCGAAACCAAATGTCAAAAGTGGTTGTTACGTTTTTCACTATTTTTTTAATATTGCATAAAATAGCCTAGAATAAATATTTAGACATGTTTTAAAAGAAAGTATAGGTTTATTTAATATTCTTTAAATATTCCAGTAGCCTTCCCAATAAGTATACCAGTAAATTTTTTCATTCATATTAATTCAAGTAAAACAACAATTCCAAAAAAAAACCCAAAATACGTAAGTGCATTAAATTGGATAAACTCACAACAAATGAATTATTGTCCTTTTGGCACAGGTCGCCTTAGCTACAGTAGATAGGCTAATAATGTAAACAGAAAGTTTGTGCTTGTAACCTCATACACTTAAAAAAAAAAAAAATTTCTACACTGCTGACATTTTAAAGAAGGCACCAGATCACCACGTTACTGAATGTTATTTGATTGTGTCATTGCCTCACAAGCCACTATTCAGCCTTACTTTTAACTCACTCCACCGAAAGCCAAATGTGGCTTTTTTTGCAATATTTGGCCGAATATATACAGTGCAACCCTAATTATAAGTTTTAAAATATAATATAACTGTAAATATAAATACCCCAATCAAGAAGCAATTTGCGAAGAAAAGCTGAAAAAAATGTAGAGTTCTAAATGCACTGGGAGAAGCTATCCAAAAGTTCGGCACAAGTTACATGCAAGAAACACATTAATTCTGATAAATTCTGATACTTTAAACATTATTTCAACATAATTATTTGTGTCAGATAATCATTTCTGTGTGTGTTAGAGGAGTTTGCTTGGTAAAAATTATGGAATTCCCTAGAGTGATGTCACATTTTCCCAACCAGAAAGTAAAATTTTAACCGTAAAAATGGCAAAATTGAGAAAACAATATATAGGGCAGATTATGATCATAATAAAATGAGTAGTCTGATCTGTCATAGGCATTTTAAGGTTTAAAATGTTACTATCTGGCTGGAAATCACAACATCACACTAAGGAATTCCACAACTGTCCCCCTGTTCATGTGAAAACTACTGCTACATGACATCACAAGGTGGAACTGAGCATTTTGAACTTTGACGATGTGGACAGACTAATATAAAGGATTACTCAAACATGTGTGAATGAAACAAAACACAACTCTGGCCAAACGTAGACAAAAGCTCACAAGAATCAATTTTGTGTAATATTAGAACCTTTACGTAGTTATTGTATCACATTTTTTTTGTTTGTTTGTTTCTACTCAGGTTCCTGATCTAGTCTCTTCAAGCAGCCAGTCCTTCCAGAGTGACACCCTGAGCCAGCACAGCACCCAGCAAATCCGCAGCATCACAACAGTCTGATGAGTCCCATACGCCTAACCATATTTTATATTATTCAAATCTATATGATATTATTTCATAGCTGCTACTGTATTGTGTTCAAAGGTCCTATATTACACAAAATTGACTCCTGTGAGCTTTAAGCCATGTTAGGACGCTGTATCGTCATCAGAACATACCCAGAGTGTTTTGATTTATTCACACTTGTTAAAATAATCTGGGTTTATTAGTGGGTCTACATCTCCAAAGTTCAAAATGCCCTGATCCACTTTGTGAGGTCAAGTAGTGGTACCCAGGCTGGTGCCACCTAGTGCCTCCATTCAATTTTATTTCTCTCCAGCGACTAGGTCAGGAATTGAAATACACAAGACGGTTCGCAAAACTGCAAGTTTGGGCACCAGCCAATCAGCCAAGAGCCATATATTCTGTGTTGACAACGATTCGCGAGATCGAGGATTTAAAGCCGGAACAAAGAGAATGTTTGGTGAATTTTCTCAAGGGGAAAGATGTTATTGCCCTTCTTCCTATGGGATTTGGGAAAAGCTTAATATAGTTAGCCTCATTATCGGTGCATTACATACGTCACGACCAAATAGCAGTGATTGGTTAAATTAAAAATGTACCCATCTACTTCTAAATCTAATGCTGCAAGGTCAGACAGTTTGTACAAAGTGAAATGGACTGTTGAATCAGGCTACAGTAGTAGTAGTTTTCAAGTTAACAACCACATTTTACCTTTTGCCCAGTAGAGTTTGGCAATTCCGGGGCTGAAATTATCCAAATGATTTTAGTGAATGTGTATGGAGTTTAAAAACACAGTGGAGCTCTTCCTGTATTACCAAATGACGTCACAAGGTGAAACAGAGTGTTTTCTAACAAAACACAACTCCAGGTATGATTGTGGTGAGGAAACAACATTATAACACAGATCAGAAAATTGCATAATATGGGCCCTTTAAAAGCATTCAGTCACTACTCAAAACTAAATATATGGATGTAGGTGTATAGATATTGATATATTGAATGTGTTTTTTTATATGTTCTGCTTTATTTTCACTGCAGGTGTAGATTAAGTGTAGAGATGTGGGATTGGTCTGATCTTTGTGGGCTCAGTGGGAGATGAGAGCATGTGGTGTGAGGTTCTGTCTACAGTAAACAGCCCACCTGGAGACACTTCATTATTGCACAGTCAAAGTGTGAGACGAGCAGGGGTGGATGAAGTACTCGATTTTGTTACTTAAAGGTACACTGTGTAACATTTTGGTTGGGGGGTGTCATTGCTCTGCCTGGAATGTTCCACAATATGACATTAAACAGCTCTACCTTACATTTATTCAATTACAAGTGGTTTTATAGCTCAAAAATACCAAGAAAAACAACATTCTGACTGTGAGAAGGGTTGCCACTCTACAGATCTGACCTGTAACTTGGTCTGGTTTGGTCTCTATGATGATAGAAATGCCATACTGTGAAACATTCCAGATAAAGCAGTAACATCTGGAGAAAAGCATTTGACGGAGCCTCCACCAGAAAAGTTACACAATGCACCTTTAAGCTCGACAGTGACTAATCAGCAAACGCGGTAACCAATAACTATACAAGTAAATTAGTGGCTGATTATTAAGCTGCTAAGTAGGATCTCAATCAACTAAACTAAACTGCATTTTCATTCAAACCAATATTTCTCAAAATTTACGCTATGCACCTTTAAATAGTAAAAAACTATAAGGATTTTGTGCAGATTTTGAGATCTAGCAAAGCTTTGAATGTAGTGATTTTGAGATTTGTGCTAAATTTTGTTCAACTGAAACTATTGAACTGATCATTTTTCCAGCTGTTTTTATTTGTATATTTTGGTTTGCTCAAACTATGAATGTGTTAAAACCCTCAGTCTTTTCAGCAGATCAAGACAATCATTTAAAATACTTTTACTTTTCAGTCCAGTTTAAAAATGCAGTGGAGTAGAAGTACAGATACCTAAAATGTATAGTTGAGTAGAGTCTTTTACTACTTTTACTTTGTTATGTTCCACCACTGGAGACAAACTCCTGTTGATACAATGAAAGATTTTCCACTTTTTGTATGATATAAAACTATCACTATCACTATGTTTTTAAATAAATTCATGACAGAACAATTGTTTTGTTTCTCTTTCTCTTCTTTTGGTTATTCCAGTAAGAAAGGTTGTGACTTAAACGGCTGCGAGATTTCTCAAAATTGAATCAAAATTAGAATTTGAATGCTTCCAATTAACAAATCACAAAGGCAGCAATTAGTCGAGTAATTTCCTCCGCAAACAAAATATCTTGTCTTATTATTTTAAGACAATTTCACAATCACAAAACAAACAAAAAACATAATGAGATTTTTTTCCAGAATTGTCTTTTACAAACAAGCAGTCTGATTATTGTAGTTTTAACTGTCAAGTCACAGAGAGGAGGAGATGGAGAGGCTGAGGAGGCTGATGGTTCTGATGCTGCAGGGACAGAAACAACAACAACAAGGAAGGCATAGAAAAGAAAACCATCACATTATCAAACGTTTTCTGCAATGTTTATGGGTTATGTAGTGAGTTGTAATGGGAACTATCTCCTCTGAGCCAAGTCCACGAAGAAGAGGAGATGGAGAGGCTGAGGAGGCTGATGGTTCTGCTGCTCCGGTGACTGAAACGACACTATTACAGGGTAGAGAGAGTGTATTTATATGAATTTCTCAAAACAGAGTCAAAGAAAGGCATGTGATTGGCTATCTTTGAGCAGTAGAGCATCATTTTCTGTTCTTAGCAAATGATAATGCTAATTTTGTCTACAAGGAGGAACGGATAGAATAGAAAACCATCACATTATCAAACGTTTTCCGCAGTGTTTATGGGTTATGTTATGTTTATGGTGATTTGTAATGGGAATTATCGCCTCTGAGCCAAGTCACAAAACGGAGGAGATGGAGAGGCTCAGGTTGTGCTGCTGTGGGGACTGAAACAACACTATTACAGGGAAGAGAGAGTGTATTTATATGAATGACTCAAAATGGAGTCAAAGGAACAGGCATGCGATTGGTTCACTTCGAGCAGGAGAGCATCATTTCTACATAATGATAGCACTAATTTTGTTCAACATGCTATGGGAAGAATGCACAGAAGAGGTAGCAGGGTTTCGATGGTCATGGAAATCCTGGAAAAGTCATGGAAATTGGAAATGTCATTTTCAGTGCCTTGAAAAGTCATGGCATTATGTAAATTCAATGAAAGTTTTGTAAAAGTCGTGGAATTTTAGTATCTCTTTCACGCAACTACAGCGTTCTGTTAAGTTATCATTAGACTATTCTGATTATTTCTGAACATTTTGCGCCTTTTGTTTAAAAGAGACGACAATAAATGCACTGACAGTATGTTAAAAACTATAATCCAAAACCATAAGGTAAGTGGAAAGGGTTTAACATTTCATATTCAGCCCTAAAAGTCTGATCAATTTTAAACATTTAGGTGTAGAATTAAGTGAAATTTCACTTTAGGTCATGAAAAAGTAATGGAAAAGTTTTGAAATTTTGTCAGTGAAAAAGAGTGGGAACCCTTAGGTAGCCATCACCTCATCATACACTTTCAGCAATGTTAGGAATAATATAATGATTTTATCTACTCTGAGCCAAGTCATAAAGAGGAGGAGATGGAGAGACTGAGGAGGCTGGTGGTTCTTCTGCTGTGGCGGGCAAGAAACAGTGGCTAAAACAACACTATTACAGAGTAGAGAGTAGGGGTGTGCAAAAATATCAAAATATCAGTAAATCGTATAATTTAATGCATTGTTTCCCAAGGACTGGGTCATGATCCTCAGGTGGGTTGCAAGAGATTTTTTTGGGGTTGCCTTGTCACGATCTGTATGTAGGCAACATACATATACATACATCTCTGCGCACCTCCCCGCCTCTCACTTTTTGTCCTTGCATGGAATCTCCGCGCAACCCCTGCTCCTCACTTCTTCTTTTCTTCTTCGTGAACGGAATCTCGCCACACCCCTTCCCGCTTCTCACTTCTTCTCTGTGCAAGTAATCTCCATGCACCCCTCCCACCCTCCGCTTCTCACTTTTTTGGGAGCACTGCCTTGCCTACCTAATTTCATTTTCTATGGGAAACACTGATTACTGTTTTTTATAGTTTAAAACTCGAGTCAATACTAATTGTTCAGAGAGACACGAGTATTTTTTGGTATATTTTGTTATTGTTGTTTTGTTGTTACAGCGTTACAGTTTTGTTGCTTGTTTAGTGGAAGGAAACTCATTTATGCAACACATTTCATATTTTCACTTGTTTTGAGGCGTAAAATCAGTGTGTTTCATATGAACGTTGCACAAGAAGTAGTTTAATAAAGACTTTTAGTGTCACAGCCATGATTTAGACATTATTTTTTACTGAACTGTATCGAATCGATTTAAAATATATCATATCAAATCGAAAGTGCACTGTATCGAGATATGTATCGTATCAGCAACTTTTTAATGATACCCAGCCTTTGTCAAGACAGAATAACTCAAAATGAAGGCAAAGAAACAGGCGTGTGATTGCCTAGATTCAAGCAGGAGAGCCTCATTTTTTTTTTTTAAGCATAATGGTAATGCTAATTTAATCCACACACTATAGGAAGAATGCACCGAGACAGCATCACAAATTTCAAGCGTTTTCAAAATATGTCTCCAAGTGAACCTTAACCCTTTAGATGTCTTCCTTCAGTACGTTCTACAGTCACCATTGTGTGTGTGAACTGTGTGGCATGAAGGCACAATAACAGATTTATTTCATGTGTGGTGGGGCTGACATAACATTTGCATTCTATAATAGTGAGGAATGGAGGCGAGCTCAGAGCTATAGGCCCTCCGTATGAATCTCTGTGACATTTTACGGCTCGGTTCTTATCAAAACGAGCCGCCCAAATGATTCCACGCTTGATGTCAAAAAGAATAGCATCGCCTCACTGTTTTCTCGTCGCAGTAGTTTACAATGTGCTGATGTATCCACGTCTTTCGCGGTCTACTGTAGGGCTGGGAGTCACTGGGTCCCTCACGATTCGATACCGATACTCGATACAAGGCTCACGATAAGATATTATCTCAATATGGCGATACATGAGACAATCTATTTAAAAATTTATATGAAAAACAACTATTTTAATCATCAAAAGAGTGAATATGTCATGTGTATTGAATAAACAAGTTTCCCTCTAACAGGACTACATTCGTATAATACTCCCTACAACTGTACAACAACTCACCCTTAAGTATTGGCTAATAACAACTATGCAACGGTAACAGATAATACTCCCTACAACTGCACAACAGTAATAGATAATACTCCCTAAAACTGTACAACAACTCACCCTTATGTAGCAGATAATACTCCTTACAACTGTGCAACAATAACAGATAATACTCCCTACAACTGTACAACTCACCCTCATGTGACAGATAATACTCCCTACAACTGAACAACTCACCCTTGTGTAACAAATAATACTCCCTACAACTGTACAGCAACTCACATTTGTGTAACAGATAATACTCCCTACAACTATACAACAACTCACCTTTATGTAACAGATAATACTCCCTACAACTGTACAGCAACTCATCCATATGACAGATAATAATCCCTACGACTGTACAACAACTCACCTTTATGTAACAGATAATACTCCCTACAACTCACTCTTATGTAGCAGATAATAAACTGTGCAACAGTAACAGATAATACTCCCTACAACTGTCCAACAACTCACCCTTATGTAACAGATAATATCCCCTACTTTTATTACTTATTTTTCTATTTTATTTTGACTTGTTTCTTATATCTTTTTTGATACTTATTTAAAATGTATTATTAACATTGATATTTTTTACCCTTTGTTGTTATATTATACTGTGATGTGTGAGCTGCTGTAATTTAAGTAATTTCCCTTGTGGATCAATAAAGTTTGTCTAAGTCGAAGTCTAAATAAGCAAGAAAATTGTAGTGTGGCCACAAAACAAAAATACTAAAAGATTCATAAAACACTCTGTACTGTATCACCAGATTTAATACCATGATATACTGATATTTCAATGTTTTTGCACACCCCTGATCTACTGTACAACCTCATTCATTCGACTCAAAGCTAGATCTCGCCGCCATGACAGTTTTTTTTTTTTTTTTTTTGAGCTTTCTCTGTGATGTATTTGTGCTGAGAGGCTTAAACAGGCGAATATAACTAAGAATAGCTCACGAGTCAATCTGGTAAATGGAAAAGTGCTCACAAAATGAATGTGTTCATTTGCAGTCCACTCCGCAGTGCGCTCACATGTTTACCATTAGAAAGTAATGAATGTGATGTTAGCTTAGCACACGGCGCAGTGCTGCAGAGAGCATGTGGAGGTCAGAGGAGTGTACAGAGCCTTTGGTTGGGGCTCTCATGGTCAAGCGACGCAGCGATATACTATTTGGCAAACAAAAAACTAGTCTCCAGGAATGTAACAATAACCGGAATACGCTGCACTCACTCCACTCGCTTAGTCCACTTCTTTATACAGTCTTTTGTTTAAAAATCTGGTTTAGACCTGATTTAAGTAAGTAAGTTTTTATTTATATAGAGCTTTTCACTGACATTTGTCACACAGACGCTTTACAGAGCATTATTCATTCACTCCATACCCGGTGGTGGTAAACTGCTATTGTAACACAGCTGCA